GTAAAACCTTTTTGACTACAGATGTAGCCAAGCACTACCTTACTGTCTGTATAGAAGTGCACTGCATCAAAGTTTAAGTCCAACTCATTTTGAATGAGGTCAGCCATTTCTGCTGACAAGACGGCTGCACATAGTTCAAGCCATGGTATTGTAGGTTCTGACAGGGGGGCTAGTTTTGCTTTGCCCATTACGAAGCCTACCTCGACGTTCCCATCTGTTTGATTTGCCTTTAAGAAGGCTATGGCTCCTATGGCCTTAGTAGAGGCATCTGAGAAAAAACACAGTTCCTTGCGCTTTGCTCAACTTAGTGAGGTGGATGTGTAGGTTCTGGGAACATGTAGTTCTTTTAGGTTCTGAAGGGAATTTCTCCACATTTCCCATCTGCTTTGTTTATCCTCTGGAAGGGGTACGTCCCAATCTGAACATTCTGAAGTAAGCTCTCTGAGTAGGGCCCTCCCTTGGATTGTAACAGGTGCCAATAGGCCCACAGGATCGAAGACGCTATTGACAGAGGACAATACACCATGGCGAGTAATTGGCTTGTTTCAGTTGGCGAATGAGTAAGTGAATGTCTCTTGTTATTTCCCAAATCAAAATTAGTCCAAGGCTTCACTGGGATTGTGTCTCTTCACCACTTAAATCTAAATTTTTAATGACAGGAGTACAATCTTTTGGGCAGAAGGCCTGCAAAACAGCCTGAGAGTTAGAAACGAACTTATGCAGGTGCAGGTTGGGTCCAGCGAGTGGGGCTTGTGCTCTTTGAAGCAAATCTATAGCCTCAGCAGGAGAGGAAACAGAAATCAAGCCATCATCTACATAAAAGTGCCTCTCCACGAACTTTACTACATCTGCACCATAGTCCTTTGAACCTACTCTGAGGCCTTGCGTAGTCCATAAATGGCAACAGCAGCAGATGTTGAGTTGCCAAACACGTGGACTTTCATTCACTCGATAACTTCTTTGTTTAGATCGTTGTCCCCGTGCCACAGAAAACGGAGGAAGTTGCTGTGGTCATCACGCACCATTAAACAGTGAAACATTTGCTGTATATCTGCCATGATTGCAACATTTTCTGTCCGGAAGATGAGAAGAACTCCGACGAGTGTGTTACTTAAATCAGGGCCAGTAAGGAGGACATGGTTAAGTAAAGGTTTTTGTGGGTGGTAGACTCCAAATGTTGGAAGATACCAGCACTCTTCTCCTCTTTTCAGTGTGTGTGTGTGGGGGGGGGACCTCAGCATGACCATTGGAGAGGATCTTTTCTATCAAGGCCACATAATGCTGCTGTGTTTCAGGTTTCCTATTTAGCGTCCGTTTTGAGGATGAGAACCTTGTGGCTACCTGTTTTCTGTTTTTTGGTAATTGCTGGTGGGGTTCCTTAGACGGAAGTGGGGAAACCCAACTGTTTTCCACATCTCTGTACATAGCTTGGTCCATTATTTTTAGAAAGTGTCCTGTATTAAGTGAGCTGGTTTATTGTCGTTATCTGTCTGGTTAAAAAATGTTTGACCTAGAGTTTGTTTGGGTGCTTTACCTGGTCTATTTGTGTGTGGCACTTCTTTGAGTTGCAGAAGGCTGCTTGCTGCATGGTTCAAAAACTGAAGGGTGGCCATTTTCTAGAACAACTGTCTTCAGGGTGCTGACTGTAGGCCTATGAACATTACCCAGACAGACCCAGACAACTACAATCCACCCTAGGTCTAGGCGCTGGGCAAAGGGGGCATTATGGGGGCCATTAATTCTCTGCCTGACCTTCTGTGCCTGTAAAACATCTGCCATGTAAAACACATCCCTAGTAGCAGGAGTATTTCGGCTTTAGGGTCTAGTTCTGGGATGTACTTTGCTATGGTTTGGAGGTGCGGCTGGTGTAGCACTACGCTGGGAGTTGGGATTTCACTCCTATTGTTAGGAATGTCCTGACACTCTATGAGCAATGGTAGAGGGATAACTACTGACCTATCCAGTGACTTGATATGGAAGCCTTCAGCTGTTTTACCCCATGTTTCTACAACACCAGAGCATGTTCTACGATTGCAGGGGAAAGGTTCACTTTTAATGTCAAAAAGTTCGAAGAACTCAGGCTTGGCTAAAGAACAATTGCTCTGATCGTCTAGTATTACATATGCCTTAACAGCTCTGTCTTTGTAACCTTTAGGGTACACCAATACAAGACATGGAACATGAACGTCCCCACTGACCTGGACCGCACACATCTGTGCAGCTTGTTGTGACATCAACTGTGTCCTGACCAATGTTCCCTCTAATTTTTCATGTGTCTGAGCAAACACACAAACTCCCCGAGCGATCCCTTGGACCACTGTGAGCAACAGCAGACGTGTGCACTGTGGTCACGCCAGCATCCAATCCATCCAAGTTACATGGTTTATTAAAATAATCAAATTACAGCATTTACATTTCTGTTAGACTACTTTTAATTAACTGCTTTAGCCCACTTACAATGAAAATTAAAATTTTAAAAAAGAAAGAAAGAAAATTAAAATACATCTTGTTCATGACCTGTGTAGTATGTTAACACCATTGGAAGTAAAAAAATAACTTCAACTCCAATTTTGAAAACACAATTTTCTTTTTTAATAGAGCTCTGACTTGTATTATGAGTCTGAGTCTGTGGTCTGGGAGAGAGTCTGTAACTCTGTCTGCAAAATACAGCATATAATGACCAATGTTGGGCAATTAATTATATAGGTAGTTCTTCAAAAAAACTTACTGAGTTTTGAAAACAAAGTTTTTTGCAGCTGTTTACTTAAAATGCTGCCAAGTTGTTTTTTTAAACAAACATTTCAAAATATGTATTTATTTACAGAACAATCAGGTGTTCTGCATCAAATCTGATGCCACACAAATAATTTGTGTCCACTATGAGATAAAGGAGAACATCAAAAGCCTGATACCTGCAGGCCTGACAACAGGAGATGTATCACTCCTGTAACACCCGTAACACTCACCTCATTGTTCTCACACACAACACAACTATTGACTACACACTAACCATACAAGATTTGCGCTAAACGTAGCAAATCAAAACACCGTAGTCACTCTTAAAACTTCCCCCCTTTCCTAAACAACTAAAAGCCATGTTGCCATATCATTTTTTGATTGGTCGACATTTTTCGAACAATAGGAAAGGGTGAGGGTTTTTTTTAATTTTGTTTTTGCTCACAGGCGGAGAGTGCTTTCGAGCGTTTTCCTTTTAAAATGCTGTTTTTACCGTTTCTTCTCGCAGTAAATATAAACAACAATAGTATTCAGGAAGAAAACCAAGCATTACATATATTTTTATCATAACACGTTGTCATTAACGTGGCTTCACTCCACTCCAAGGTGGCATCGTTCTTATCACATACTGGAGCAGCCAGTCACTTGCTGACTAACACTGCAAAACAGAATTGTTAACGTATTTACTTTAATTTCAATTCAGGTTAGATTTTTTTTTTTTGTGTGCAATACAGCTTTTTTGTGCGCAGAGACCGTGCCAGCAGTGCGCAATTGCGAACACGCGCAGCTTAGAGGGAACATTGGTCATGACTGCTTGCTCTCTCCCCGTCATTCTCTTGTGCTGGAAGTGGAGGCTTGTTGGTCTGTGGTGGAGGACTGTGTCGTGACCTGTGCTTTCACATTCAGAACACTTTGCTGAAGATTTGCATTCCTTCGCAATATGAGTGTCTGAAGAACAGCATCTGAAGCATATTTCTTTTCTCTTTAAGGAAGGCCTTCCTTTCATCAAGTGATTTCTTCCTAAGCATGAATTACGCATTTTAACAACATGTATTTATTTTTTTTATGACAAACATTTTTAGAATTATTTATTTTAAACGTGTGAACTTATTTATTCAGAAAAATGCTTTAGGACAATACAAGGTCCATCTCAGCTCTGATGATGAGCAGATGAGAGGAAGAAGTGACATGACAGAGAGGACTGAGGGTTGTTCAGCAGTCACAGTGGGGTCTGGTTTATCTTCTCAGGTGGTTTCCATGGTGACTCGGACTGACTTACAAGTTACTGACCTCCACGATGATCCTTGACTTCTGATTGGTCCTGAGCCAGATTTTGGATGTTGGGAAGACTGAGCTGAGTTCTGCGGCAAACTCCCACAGCTGGAATAAGCAGATGTTTTTTTAGAGCAGGACCAAACTGTCGTCTTTGACACATGATAAAGTTCAGATGATGGTTTTTTTTTTCAGTTTCATTAGTAACTTGGTGAAAGGGAAGAGTGTGAGCTGCATGTGATTTCCAGCCTAACCATATAAATAAATCTGGGGTAAATCTACACTCCTGAAACTTAACAGAATCAGATCTCACTAACACTGTCAGATATTTTACTTGAGTTGAGGATACTGGACATATTTATTTCTTGGCTATATTCATAGAAAGAAATATATGAACACAGGTCCAACGCATCCATGAACAGTGAGGCCTTGACCAAAGCGGTATTTTTCTTTCTCAGGTTGTTGTAATTTAAAATGATTTAGGTACAAAGTGATGAAAATTTCCAGTGAATCAAGTAAAAAATGGTTTATTCTGTGAACATTAAGTGATTTAAAAGTAAATATGAAAATCATGTCTTTAAGAAGGTGGTAATCAGGGTAAAATATTTAAAGGGGATCATCTGGTTTCTTACTCTTTTTTTGTAGCTGAATGTTGTAAAGGTGAAGGTGTGTGGATTTCTTTTTCACCTGTTATCAGACCATTACAATCATGTGAAGTATGCAAGCAGAGTCTCTTTAACTCCGATTGTCTTATAAAACAAGCCGGGTGCAGCTCAAAGTGGACACAGCTGCTGAACTGTTATTAGCGAAAGAACCAAGAGAGGACCACAGCTGAGTTATCAAAGCTGTAATTTGGTCTCTTTAAGGCTGGTGAAACAAACCAGTGCTGGAGTCCATGTGACAGAAAACTGACCAGCTGTAACCAAAGCTGCAGTCAGCTGATCTGTGGTCGTATCTTTAAACAACTGTGTCACAGTGAAACAAAACAGCTGGTTTATGTGTTTCCCATTTGAGCTGCTGATTGGCACATAAAGTTGCAGGACAGCATCACCTTTACTGTGATCTTTAGTGCTCTGATAAGCTCAAGAACATATGGAAGTTACATCTTTCCTTTTAGAAAACACACAGTACAAAGTGAGCATGATTTCATGGTGACTTTTTCCTTTCTGTGTTCTTTTTGGAGGCAGCAGTGTTGATAACAGCACATGAAACTGAGACTTGATGCTCTGCTTTGTCGCCTTCACGCTTTACTGTTTGTTCCAAAAGACCAAAAAAAATAAATAAAGGACATGGGTAATAAAATAACCAGAGTTTGTTTTTTCTCTTCTTTGTCACTTCCACTCAGAAACTGTTTGTTGCCATCAGCTGTTTCCAGGTGTTTCCAGCTGTTTCCAGGTCCATTTCTCTTTCAGTTCTAAGATTATAAGATCAAAAGCACATTTCTTTCATGTCAGTCCGTCCTTGATGCATATATGTGTCGTACTGTTTCACAATGTGTGGCCCATGGACCTTCACAAATACGTTGTCTGATTTGCTCCAGACAACGTATTTGTTCTCGCCGCTCGGCTGTATCCATTGCTCCGAACTCCTCTCTCCGCTCGCTTCAGCAATACAACGGCTCTGGTTGCTCTTCATCCCAGCGAAACTACGACCTCCGAACCGCTATTAGAGGTCGACCCACCTCCTTTTTTTTTTTTTTTTTTTGCCTTTTTAAAAAATGTTTACCCATTATGTGAACAGCACAGGTACACACCCTGGTTCATTAGTTAAACTGTACTATTATGAATTTCATGTTATAATGTTATGTCATACATGATACTTTAAAGGTGCAGCCAGTTGTTTTTGAGTTCATTTAACAGAAATAGAGAACATTTTGCTCATTAATATATATTGACTCATGTGTAACTGTCGTCCAAACCTATGCTTACTTATCGCAGGGAATGCAGGGAAGCAGGTGCTAGTTTGTGGAAGCCACCATGTTGCCACGCCATTTTGAATACAGTGGCAGACAGACACATATGCAGTACTTTTAATTTAATGGATACAAATAGTTCTTTCAGTATATTCATCACATTTCCAAATTATCGTCTTCCTCTTCACCTCAAACCTCTCCTGAACTAAACCATGTTTATGAACAACTAAATGCTCACAAACATGGTTATTTATTCCCAAATGCACTTACTTACTGTCAGCAGATTAGATGTCAGCTGTTTGGACAACAAGCCAGTT